GGGGGGGGGGGGGGGGGGGGGGGGGGGGGGGGGGGGGGGGGGGGGGGCAGGAGGAGATACTCGTTTCGGTGTTGTGTGTGTTCGTCTCTGCTGTTCCGGCGCAGGTTTACAGGGTTTTCGGCGTATATACCTGACGTATCAGCCGGGGTCACACAAGAGGACGGTCATCCAGGAGCTATTTCATTTTTTTTCGTTTTTTCCTACTTTCCCCTTGCGCTTGCCTTAGTTTTGCGCGGGCAAATGTATACTAATATGAGTGGCGTTTTGATCGCCCCGACATAAATGCCCCCAGGTAGAAGTTTCAGCACGTTTACCGTAGGTGGCGTTAGATATCACACCCCCTGGACAGATTTTCGAAGCTCAACCGGCGACGGTGCCGAAAATGGTGGGAGGGGTTGAAACCGCCTCGTCGAGAGCTTTCCGACAACGTACCTTTGATTTCAGCATCCACTTCGGCGTTGAGTAATGAACCTTTCAAAGTCGTTCTAGGGGTGCGTTGTTCAACCTGCGGCATCGATGGGTGTACTACTTCAAAAGCCAACGATGAGCAAAGGGAGAGACAAACAGCTCAGATCCCACTCAACGGCACCCATTGAACATTAACTTCCACCCGCCCTCTCCCTTGCACCAAAATGATCAGCACCCATATAGCAGTACACTCACACACCAGATCCGGAGCACTCACTTCGCGTCAAACATCTCCGCCACGATGAGCCAGGGGATGGGGCCGAGACCCATCTCGAAGAAGGTCACGAAGGCCATCACCCCAAACACGGCGATCACGTTGGGCAGCGTGCCCAGCAGCGACAGGGTCACGACCACGGTCGACGCGAGCATACCTCCCGTGCTCCACAGCAACAGCGGGACCTTTTTCCCAAGAAAAAAACAAGGACGAAAACCACAGAACAAAAGAAAAAAAAAAGAGCGGTTCCTCAAAAGTGTTTCGTCCCATGCTACAAACCGGAACGATTTTCGCAGGCTGAAAGTTAACTTGCTCTTGCATCTTTTCGTGGAATATCTTGCCGTGCCGTACATGTATCTGTTCCTTTGACTTCTGATGATAAGGTAAGAGTAGATACTTCACAGAGATCGCGAAACGGCGACTTTACCGAGAATTGAATACTTTTCAGTTTGTCACAACACACGCGTTGTTCGCAGAAAATGGAGCAAACAATGTCAGTACATCACCAACAAAGGGCTCCCGAGCCGCAAGCAGTGCACACACACAGAAGACCCCTATTTTGAAGTAATTTCTGTTTTCAACCACGCTGAAACGGAAGTCTTTCTCATTGTCAGCCGGTTTGCCTGGTCGATGCTACCAAGATAAAACACACACGCGCACGAATGTAGGTCACGGTGCCCCACGCCCCCCTCTCTCACCCGCCCGGTCTTGTCCATGAGTTGAAGGGCGACGTACGTCGCGACCACGTTGACCACCCCGACCAGCGTCGTGCCAACCAGCGGGTTGTCGATGATGCCCACGAAGAAGCTGTTCGAGTAGTAGAAGACGGCGTTGATCCCCGTCAGCTGCTGCGCCGCGTGAAGTATCAAGAACGACACCACCAGAAGGCGTTGCTGCGCGATAGGGGGGGAGGGGGGCGGGGGGTTACTGACGTGTTAATGTAGGCATGCAGAGGGCGTGCCGCAGGGTGCGGGATGTGTGGTGTGGTGTGATCATGCCTTCGCTTCCGGAGAGAACCAGGCAGCCATAAGCTTCCTCATACTGATGTGTTAATGTTGGTAGGCAGGCCGAGGGGGTGCCCCAGGGTGCGGGGGATCGGGGGGGGGGGGGGGG